CCCCTCTATCCCTCTCTCTTCTCTTCGCTCATCTCTCTCTCCTCAAAAACATTACCCAATTCATCCACGGGTATTAAACACCCGTAAGCAGCATCTTTAGTTCTTCATTTTTATAGAAACACCAACACATTCCTACTTATCATTCCCCAAATACATCCAAATTCCAATCGTTTTACTAACGCTACCAAACCCTTCACTTACAATGTTGGCGCCAGCGAAGCGAATCAAAATGGGCGTAATCAAGTCAACCATCGGAGACAGAATCTTGACCTCGATGTGGGTCTTCTCCGTCCCAGTCCTCGTAATCTCCTCGGCCGTCGTATCCTCCTTCGCGGCGTCGAACCCACCATCTTTATCACCGTCGACGTCGCGGCCAACTTGGTCCTCTTCTTCAGCACAATCGGATCCCTCCTCGGTGGTGCCATTTTCAACCCAACTACCACTGTCTCCCTCTATGCTTCCGGCCTCAAACCGAACGCGTCCCCCTTCTCGATCATCGTCGGTTTTCGTTCTAGGAGGGAGGCGGGGTGGTGGGCGCCAAAGCAATCGGGAAATTCCTCCCGGTGCAATTAAGGCACGTACTCGGTGGGCCGTCGTTGAGGGAGCAATCGCCGATGGGGCTCTATGCTTCGTGCTCTGTTTGGCTCTGCTATCGATTATGTTCAAGGGGATGAAAAATTACTTGGTCAATGGAGAAGGGGGGGAGATCTGGCGAGTCGTCGGGGTACATAGTCAAGGGCAATGGGCCTTCTAGGTGTTTGGTTGTGAGGAAGAAAGAGACTAATGGCGTGGGAGCGGCGACCTCTTCTGGCTCACGCAAGCCTATTGACTCGATGAAGAAGGAGAAGAAGAGGCCTAGGTTGGATTTCATTGTACGAAAGAAGGAGAGAGGAGATCTAGCGCCTGAAACTTCTCGGATTAGTAACGGCGTGAATGATTTTTATGCGGAGGTTGAAGAGGAGAGAGGAGGGGACGAAGAGGAGAGATGGATAGAGGGGTCGGTCCATAGGTTTGTATGGTTTAAGGATTGGGTTGGGAAAGATGACATGGTGGGTTGACTGACGTGGCGGGTCGGGTTTGATAATGTGGCTGGTTAAAAAAAGGTGAGTCAGCACTTCTGTTAGCCACTTAAGTAATTGACTGACGGTGTTAACGGGTACTAACAGAGAGTGACTAAACGTGAACCGTTTTACTAATTCGAGTGACCAACATTGATATTAATTTTTTCCAGTGACTAAACATGACACATTTTTGTAAACCCACTAACCAAATGTGGCAGCATTACCCATTTCCATTGTCTTTGTGGATTTGGTCTCCCTTTCAAATCAAAAAATTGTTACCCTCTTTTAATTTATGGGTAAATGCCACATTTGGTCATTGACATTACTAAATCGTGTCATGTTTAGTCACTAGTAAAACTCAATATCAATTTTGGTCACTCGAATTACTGAAACAAGTTATATTTAGTCACACTCATGTAGCCTCTGTCCAACTCCGGTTACTCGAATTATTGAAACATGTCACAATTAGTCACTCGAATTACTGAAACTAGTAACATTTAGTCACTCTCCCGTTAATTTCCGTCCAACTCCATTAATGAAGTTGGACGGAAACTAACGGGAGAGTGACTAAATGTGACCAGTTTCAGTAATTCGAGTGACCAAAATTGATATTAAATTTTTCTAATGACTAAACATGACACGATCTAGTAGTCTTAATGACCAAATGTGGCATTTACCCTTTAATTTATACAAGAGAAGGGAAAGAATTCTTATTTTATGCCTCTTTTAACTATAGGGTGGTCAAATTAGTGGAACTTTGTTTGCTTTTCTATGATTTTTTAAATATTATATAGGGAAGGGAAGTAGTGAGGATTAATGACACAAATATTGTTTTTTTTTTAATTTACCACCAATATGGCGGATTAAGAAGTATTTACACAGATATTGTGTTTTGGAGACAAAAAATGGCGACAACACCTGGGACTCAGGCGCCGCCGCTCTGGATGATATTTTGGATTAAGTGACAGCGGCGGCGAGTCCAGCGTGTTAGGTGGGAAACTGTCCCAGGTGGCGGCGCCCGAGACTAGAGTGGCGGCGCCTGAGTCATCAGCGAGTTAGGTGGCCTCCCCCCTATATAAACCCAGCCAATTTCATTTCAGTTTCACACCACAAAAAAATCGTTCAAAACAAAGGAGCTTTGGAGCTCTCGTTGCTGCTGCAAAAATGGCTAATAGGTAAGAGACGCATTTATTTTTGTAATTATATTATTCAAATGTTATTATGATTGTGTTTAGTTTTAATTAGCGAGTCTGTTTTTTTGTAGTGATTTTAGAAGATTTGAACTAGTCGTTCGATGGAAATCGGAGAAAGTAGAAGATAATTTGGGCGTCAAATTCGTTGGTGGTAGTAGTTTTCAGATGACGATTCCATCCAGGGTCACATATCATTATCTTTGTGAGAATCTAATTCCGAGAATACGGCGTAGAGACGAAGCAGTACAAGATAGTGATGTGATCACAAGTTTCATTTACCGTCTTCCAGAATGGCAGAATGGTGTTTTATTTCATTATGCAATGCCTATTGTGGATGATGATAGCTTGAATGTGCTTTGGAATTTTATGGCACAAAATCCTTATTGTTTGGGTGCTGAGATACATGTTCAGCTCAGTGAGGATCAGGGTGGAGAGGTAGAAGATGATACATGGAGTGTGCCATCCGATCATGCCTATGATGACGGTGATGACGGAGAGGAGGAAGATGAGGAGGAGGAGGAGGAGGAGGAGGAAGAGGGGGAAGAAGTGCCTAATTATCCTCCATATTTTTACTTGCAGGGTAATGAAGAGGACGAAGAATACTCACTTGTTGATTCATATGGCGTAATTCCAATGTCTATTGTTGATAGTTTTGAAGGAGAATTCTACAAGGGGCAGATATTTCACTCGAAACAAGCTGCACAGATGGCGATTAAACACCACGCACTACAACGCAACTTTCAATATGGCGTGGTGGAGTCGTCACCTTCAATCTGGAAGGTCAGATGCTTGAGGCACAAGGATGACAATTGTCCTTGGATGGTGCGGTTTGGATGTCGAGATGCTGGAGGCGAATGGACTGTGAGAAAGGCTGAGTTGGTGCATTCTTGTAGCAGTACGACTCAACCGACGGATCATCGCCATCTTGATGTCGACATGATATCTAAGGCCGTCAAACATTTGGTACGTGCCCAACCAAATCTGAGTGTTCTAACTGTGCAAGCTGAGTTGAAAGATAAGTTTAATATGCAAGTTACTTACAAGAAGGCTTGGTATGGGAAACAAAGAGCATTGGAGAAGTTGCATGGAAATTGGGAAGAATCCTACGATTTTTTGCAGACATTCTTGCGGGTAGTCAAGAGAAAAATGCCAACATCGGTGATTGATTGGGTAAGAGTTCCTTCGACTCAACCAGGTCATTTGATATTTCAGCGAGTATTCTGGGCTTATGGACCTTGTATAGATGGATTCAAGAATTGTCTGGGCATCATGGTTGTTGATGGAACATTTCTTACTGGGAAGTATAAAGGAGTGCTACTCATGGCGAGCTCATTTGATGGTCGGAAGAAAATTTTTCCAATTTCATTTGCCATAGTGGAGAGCGAGAATACTGAGAGTTGGCCATGGTTCATAAGGAACGTTCAGGGTTTGACTGATCGAAATGATGTATGCATCATCTCAGATAGACATGCAGGACTCTATGAAGCCATGAATAACATCGGAAGAGGTTGGGAGTGGAGGTGGTGCCTGCCGCTTCGAGATATGGCCGATAAAGCTCACGGTAAGGTACTAAAATGGTCGTACCTCGAACATGGAAAGATCGATCACCAGCCTATAGTGCACAAAACTTATATTAATTCATCTTCATTCGTAATAATTCTAATTTCACCTAATTAATTCTAATCTATCTAATCTAATATCAAATTATACTAATTTCAAAAAATCTAATACGTAATCCTATTCTCTAACAGTACAGTTCAGTTCACCAACTAAAATAATCTAATTAGCTAATTAACTTTACATGAATAATTATCAAATACTTACCTCGTTTGTCCAAACAGAGTCAATACGATGTTGGCCATGTCCCCAAAGAAGTGTCGCATCGACCGGACTTGGATCAATTGTCGCCGGCGGTCATCTCATCGAATAAGGATCCATAAGCCTAGGAACTGCAAAAACAAAGCAACAAAACATCAATAAAAAACACAAACCATTAAAAAAAAAATTCAAGCCGCCGACGAGAGTCTCACCGCGCAAACAGCTGCCACGACCTCGCCGGCCTCTCCCCCTGCCTCTGCCGGCTTCTTCGTCGGAAGACATCAGCGGCGGCGCTTTACCAGTAAGCGGCGGCGGCGCTCACTCCCCAGCGGCGGCGCTCCCTGCTGCGGCGACGGCGCTCCCTGCTGCGGCGACGGCGCTCCCTGCTGCGGCGACGGCGCTCCCCTTACAGGCGGCGGCGCTCCACTCACAGGCGCCGGCACCTCCGTTGCGGCGGGGTGGGTTCTCTGTTCGGGCAGAAAGAAAGAAGGGTGGGGAGGAGGGTTGGGGGGGATAAGGGTGTTGTGTGGTCTCGGGAAGAAGGAGGGGAGGAGGAGAGTGTGTGGCTGGGAAGAGATAAGGGTGGAGGGGAGGGGAGGGGGCCCGAGCCCGAGGAAATTTTTTTAAAAAAAGAGCCTGACGCGGCGGCGCAAGGGACTCGGGCGCCAGCGCCCAGAACTTTAGAATCAGCGGCGGCGCCTGAGTCTCCGGTGTGGCCGCCAAAGCCTTTTCCAAAAGCACAATATCTGTGTCATTTGTTTTTAATCCGCCATATTGGTGGTAAATTAAAAAAAAACAATATTTATGTCATTAACCCAAGTGGTGATAGATGACGTGAGATGGGACGAAGGAAGAAGGAAAATTGTTTTTTTATTTGTTTTATATAATTTTTTCCTCTTTCCCACTCTCTCTATTTTCTAGGCAATAAAGTAAAACACCATTTTCCCCTATCTTATCTTTTTCATTCACTCTTCCTCTCTCATCTTTTTAGATGAACTTTCTCCATGTTTTTAGAAGAACGAAAATGGATGAAAAAGGAAGGGAAGAACAGAAGAATGAAAGAGTGGGAGGAGAAAATAGAAGAACCAAGGGAAGAAGAGCATGGTGATGAATTTAGTCTCCCCCCTCTTTTTTGTTTTTTGTTACTTTGTTGCTCTGTATTTCAGTTTTACTCTTTTTTTTGTTTTTGTCTATCTGATCAATCATGCCTATTTTTGCTTTTGATTTTGGATTTATGGAGTTTCGGACGAATTGACTGTTTTTTATTTTGTCACTATTTGTCATAATCAATATTGTTTTCTCTTCTCTCTTTCCCTTTCGGTTTCTCCCTTCCTTTTTTGAATTTTTTGCTCCATCTTCCCTTACTCTATCTGACACAAAACAATAGAAAGGAGCCAATCTATCTCCTCTTCCCTCTCTTTATATTATTTGTTCAATCATCTCTCATCCCTCCCTCTCTCACGTACTTATTTCCTCCATCTTAGTTTTCCATAAACTATTCTCCCTTTCCATTCTCTCTTTATCACAATCCTCCATCTTTCTCTATCACACAGACGAGAAGGAAGAAGATGGAAAAAAAGAGGATGATTTCATTGGTTTTAGATCCCACATGCAAATCACATACAATTGATGGTTAGACTAGTTGTAGGTTCGTTTATGGGTGGGTCGTCGAGCTTCTCCACGGGTGGCTTCGCAGGCAATTGTCATGGCAGAGTAAACATGGCCTGCTGCTGGTGGTGGACAATTATCTACATGCGTCTAAGGTAAGCTCTTTTTGTTGGATTTATTTTTCTTTTTGATTTATTGGTTTATGCCAATCTAATCAGACTTTTTCCTTTTGGGTTTTCAAGTTTGGACAAGAGGTCGGGTAAGGAGGAGCTGTTGCAGGTGTACCTTTCAGAAGGCAATAAAGGTGATGGGCAAGCCACTACTCTCTAAGTAAGCCTTTTCTTTTATGAATCGCTATTTGCCGCCCGTATATTTACTATTTGCCGCCCATAATTTTGTAGAAAAGTCAATTTTGCCCTTCAACACATTGAAACCTAACTAAAATATCTCACCGGAATTGTTGGCCGAGTTTTGCTGCCACCGCTCTGGAGGACCAAACCTGCCGCCGGCGACCTCACCTTCCTCTTTTCTATTCCTCAAATCCGGCGACAATCACCTTCGCTTTCCTCTTTTTTCCCCGCAATTCCGGCGGTGATTCACCCTCCACCATCTTCTTTCGCCATGGGAGCAAGACCTCGGGATGAGATGGACGGAGACCTTCAGTCCGACATCGGCGTTCGGACGGGGTCCGCCCGCCGGCCTCGGACGGGGTCCGACCTCTCACATCGGACGTGGTCCGATCTCCCACGTCGGACGGGGTCCGACCTCTCGCATCGGACGTGGTTCGATCTCCCGCGTCGGATGGGGTCCGATCTCCGGCGTCGGACGGGCCGCCGGTGAATAAATTTGTTATTGTTTTAAATATTTAGAAATATGATAATTAGGCAAATTAAAGGGAGTATTTTAAGGTAAGATTGATTTTTCTTTGATATATTTCGGTAGAATATTAAAGAGGAGTTTTTTTCTCACCAAAATAAAAGAAAGGAGTTTTTCATGGTATATATAAAAGTTTACATAAACAACCGTAAAATATTCACTTAATTAACTTGTCTTCCCCTAATTGGCGTCCACATTTAATTTCATTTACTTAAGACATCCGAAAATAATTCCATAATTAACATGTCCATAACCCACGTCTAATTGGCGTCCACATTTGAATTGTTAATTATTTATTGAGTAATTAAGTAGTTATATTGTTTCAGATATTTATAAAATCACCCGTCAAAATAAAATTTTTATAAAATCTGATAATTAGGCAAATTAATGGGAGAGTTTTAAGGAAAGATTGACTTTTTCGTTGATCTAGTTTTGGTAGATTTTTTGTTTAGTTTAGACTTTAGCGGTGGAATATTAAATAGAATAGTTTTTATGGTAAAATTTAAAAGTATATTTTTAAGGTAAGATTGATTTTTCGGTTAATATAGTTTTGGTATTATTTTTATTTTTATTTTGATTGAGCGGTTGAATATTAAATAGATGAGTTTTTTATGGAAAATTTTATAATTTTTACATTAATAAAATAATTTATTTTGAGTAAGAATTTTTCAGAAGGAAACTTCCTAATTAACTCTAATTTGTATTTCTCGCCACCAATCTTATTTCTCTCACCATCAATAGAATTTTTATTCCTTAACAACAGAACGTAATATCCTCCCCAATTTAATGATTATTTTCCTAATTAACTACCTACAAAATTTCCTCCCACGTCTAACAATATAATGGTTTCATAATTATACTCAATTTAGCATCCCACCCACATTGACATCCGAAAAAATTTCCTTAATTAACATTTCCTATTCCATAAGCCACGTCTAATTTCAATTCCCTAATTAACACTTCCTTAATTAACATAACCAATTAGAAGAGAATTTAACCACAATTGAAATCAAGATGATAGATGGCAAAAAGAAATAAAGCATTTCTTTCCTAGTCTACACCTTCTATCCCTCCAAAATCCTAAACCCTTATTCCAACAAAATAACTACATTCAACCTCGACCAATCCAATTCTACTACGACATTGTCTTAGAGACAAAATCGCCTCTACTTCCACTAACAACAATCGTCCGTATCGTCGAAATACGCATGGTAGGCCCAAGAAACTGCTCGTTACGACTCCCAAAACTCCCAAAAACGTCGATTAAAGTTTTGACACTATTCATACTTTTTTGCCCAGGACGTCCGATCGCGAATCGGTTGATTCCACCATGTTCGTATCCACATTTTAGTGGAGCACCAAGGGTTACATTAAATTTTCACATCTATAGCTCTAGTAAATAGTAATTGTGAAAAGATTCTTGTATAATAATTTAACCAAATTTAATAAGTATTTATAGTCATTCTACACCGTTAAAATGAATTATCCATAAGTTTGTACAATAATTTTGGATCTCTTATAATTAATATTCATAATCTAATCATGGTAATTTTTTGAATTATCCATAAGTTGCTATTTATGTACGCAATAATTTTGAAAGTTCTAATCTAATCATGGTAATTTTTTCTAATTATAAGGGTAGAAACAATAGAAACTAATCACCTCTGTCATATTGAGCAATTAGTGTCGATAAAAAAAAAGCAATTAGTGGTGCATGGAGAAATTAGTGGTTTGGTAAAATTAGTTTAGTGAATAAATGGGATGAGTATGGAATTAGCTAGATTAATTAATATAAATGATAATATTAATATTGATATAAAATAATAACAATAATTCCCACTAATCAATCCCACTTACGGCAGAAACCATTTTCTACTATCATTATATAATAATTAATCATAATTAATTACTTCTCTCCAATTAACTTCCCTCAAAACGTCTATTCCACTCCTAAAAAATTTCGCCGAATATCCTCTCTCCTTTTCTATCTCTTCTTTCCTTCTATTGTCGCCGTGAAATTGGACAGCGCTAAGCCGTCCGACGCAGCAGATCGGACCCCGTCCGACAATGGAGATCGGACCCCGTCCGACACCTTCGAGCGGACCTCGTCCGATTGTCGCAGGCGGACGTCGTCCATCGCCGGCGAGCGGACGGGTTTTTTTTTTTTCTTTCCGTTTCAAAAATTGGGAGGTCCGTCGGTTGTGGGTTGGGAGGTTCGGTGGCTGCGATGATGTGGCGGATGGCGGCGGAGATGATTTGGGAGGTCCGGCAGCGGTGATGATGTGGTAGACAGAGGTGGAGATGGTTTTGGTGGTCGGCGGCGAAGGTGGAGATGGTCGGCGGCGATGGTTGGAGGGAGGAGGCGGAGAGTTTGGGAGGGAAGGGAGTGGGGGCAAAAATGTCATTTTAAATTAATACACGGGCGGCAAATAACAACCCTCTTTTTTTTTGGGTTTTGGTTCTTTTTATGTTCTAGGTCTCTCTTTTCTTTGATACGGTTCTCATATGTTTTTCTTTCTTTGATATGACTCCAACATAGCTTGCCGGCAACAACATCAGCGATGTAGCTAGCTTGCTAGCAGGGTAGAAAACGTATTTGGGAATCAGTTTCTGCATGTTTATTATTGATTTCATATGTTGCAAGTTGGCCATGGATTGAAAAGCAAGAAAAAAAGAACATGTTGGTGCGACTTGTAACACTCCGACCTCTAGGTTTAGGTTCGATCTTAATACGTGAACGGTTGGATTAACGGTTACGTACAAGGGATTACAATTGCAGTTTCTAAATAATAATAATATAATATTTTCTCGGCCGAGAAAATCACAAGCAAACAGAGAGGACGAGGGAAAGAGAGAAGAAACGAAGAGTGGCAAATTGAGGAAAAGTCCTGGGCATCAATCTCAAGCCCCTCAGGCTAGCTACTGCTCGACAAAACGCCATCCCACAGTCATATTCTTTCATTTCATTGTGGAAACTTGCCGATTTTCCTCTAAATTTAACGGATCCACTGCTAAATTTAGAGGATGAACAACTGAAAGAGGAGACACAGGGAGTGGATTCTAGTGTTTTGATACATACTACTGCAATCTCTAACACGCCTACTCCCTCTTTGTCTCTTTGCATCTCTCGCCAAGATGATGATCTCCCGAGGACTCTTAGGAAGGTCTCCACCACATATAAAGCCGGTGACGCCTGTTTCCGAGGTGACGGAGCCGCCGGAATCTCCTTCCTCCTACCTCGACCTCAACACTGAGGCCGCCGCAACTGGCGCAGCTGCAAAGGCCAAAGCCGACGAGGAGATGAAGGAAGCCAAGGAGATGGAGCAGCCTCCAACTGCCGTGCCCTTCTCTAGGCTGTTTGCTTGCGCGGACTGGTTGGATTGGGTGCTCATGATCGTTGGCTCGGTTGCTGCGCCTGCACATGGGACTGCCCTAGTTGTTTACTTGCATTACTTCGCCAAGATTGTTGAAGTTATGCGGATTGGTAGTAATACTGCGAAGGAGCGGTATGATATGTTCATGGATATTGCTTTAGCCATAGTTTATAATGTTGGGGGTGTTTTTTTTTTTTTGCTGCAGGTTGGATAGAGGTTCACGCCTGTGAGTAGGAGAGGAAGAGCCGTAACTGACGGATGACGATCGTGATGTGGTCAAGGGATTGAGAGGCCCCGACCTTATCCTCCTAGACGACCCGGGATGTCGGCAGTTCGAAGTTGGTCACTGAATTGTGGTCGGAGGGGTGACCTCGAAGAGAATGGCGGCGGAGCTCCAAAGGTGAGGATCGTCGAGGAGGAAGATGAGTAACCGATAGAGGAGGAGTCGAAGGAGTAAAAACATTCGAAGCTTGAGCATGAGAATGCAGGTGTTGACTTCTCCTGCCTGGCCGAAGCAGGGATAGCAGATGTCATCTTGCCACTTCTAGTAGTGATGGCATCTAACTATTAGCGAGGCTCGCGAGGATTTGGGATGGTGGTGGCAAGCAGGGTTCCCGATGGTCTGTGTTGTTCTGGCAAGCTATCCCTCTAATCTGGTACCGGAGGTCCAGAAGTATGGCACCTTGGTTCCTCTAGCCTGCCTCCAATTAGGTGATGCAATGGTCCATCTTGGTGAAATTCGCTGTGCTGGCGCTCACGAAGGTTTGCACCATGTTTTTCAGCTCTGACATCTGGTCATCTTGTGCTAGAGCTGCTGCCGGCTAGACAAACTGTCTCTACCGCTGCTGAAATGGTTTCCCCAGTCTGGGCTGATAAGGCTACTGCTATGGAAATGGATCCTGTCGGGCCCGAAAGGGCTGTCTTTGCTGGAAACCACCTACTCTATCTGGAAAACCGGGAGGCTTGGTAGTGTTGCCGTTGTTTCTATTCCAGGAGAAGTTGTGATGCTGGCGCCACCCCTCATTATATGTTCCAATGTAAGGATCAAGGGGTCGAGCATTAGCGATGAAATCCAACTGCTGCTGGGGTGTAGAAGAATCCCGCATAGACTGGCAGTCTTCCACCAAATGATTTGAGCTCTCACACCACTGGCATTGTGCAACCGAATGTCCATCCAATCCTCTGCCTGGAATGAGACTGTTGGGCTGCTTTAATGTCTGGACCAGCTCGGCCACCTCCCGCTCTAGCCCGGATCTCACTTCCATGGAATGCACACCTCATCTGATTCAACTCGGGTGGAGTCTTGGTGAGAATGTCCCCTCCTGGGAATAGAGATTCGATCAGCCTCTGGCTTTCTAGAGATAGAGCACTGTAGAAGTTTCCCACAGTAAATGCATCACTAAAGCCGTGATGGGGACACTACCAGAAAAATCCCGAGTACTGTTCCCAAGCATCACGTAGTGAATCATCTGGCTCTTGGCGGAAATGAGTGATCTCCCGCTGAATCTCCGTGGTCTTCGAGGCCGGATAGTACTTGTGCACGAACTTGTTGGCTAGATCATCTCAGGAAGTGATAGACAATGGTGGTTGAGTCTCTAGCCACCTCTTTGCATGCCCCACCAGAGAGTGGGGGAAGAGGTAAAGACGAATCGCGTCATCTGGTACACCATTCAGCTTGAACCCATTGGTAAGCTGCAGAACCAGAAAAGGAGCACCATCGCCTCCTCATCCTTGAGGTCATGAAACTGGATGGAGGATGTGATCAGTTGAATAAAGCATGGCTTGATCTCGAAGTTATTTGCTGCAATGGGCGGATACAGGATGATGTGGCGGATGTCGGCGATCCGTGGAGTGTAGTAGTAGTCCATAATAGGACCTGGCGGGGCAGGTTGATGCTGAGCCCCATCTGGCTGGGGAACTGGGTTATTGGCCAGAACCTGATTCACTAGGGGAACGTGCATGGGCATCCTCAGGGGTTGGTTCTGCCCCAAGTTCAGGTTTAACATGTTGTGCTCGTCACCCATTTCGTCCTCCTGCTCGGAGTCGCTGCTCAGATGGCCGTCGATGTGCACTTCCTCCGTAGCCAGTCTTGCTCGCTGTTGCCTCCTAAGCTGGCGACAAATGCGTTCTAGCTTCGAATCCAACAAGAGTAAGTCTCCCGACTTGCTACGGGTCATACACGACCTCCACACAGCCAAGCAAACAAACCCGTGAAGGCAAAAGTGGGACAAAGCAAAAAAATCAATGCGGAAAAGAAATGCTAAAGTAACATAAATCACGTTTCTTCAACAACCTAGCCGTCCCCGGCAACGGCGCCAAAAACTTGACTCACTCATACCGTCACAATAGAAGTTTCCAAGTGTAACCACCTACTAATGCGTAGTATAGCGGGCTTAGGTTCAAATGTCAACCCGGGTCCTAGGTGTGATGACTACTCCGTGAGATTCTTATTATTTAGCGGTTCAACTGTAGTGAAGTTCCAACTAAACTAGCAAACAAAAGCAGTAAAGGTTGTGTTCCAAGTTTGAGAGAGGTCACCCAGATATGGTTCCCCTTAGACTGTAGTTAAGCCAAGTTGTAATTCACCCAATCCAGTTTCAATGATAGTTATACTGCGGAAGGTTCTTAGACAGTCTGAAGTCTCGACTAAAGGTCTCCAGACCCTCTTAATCTGAATCCCCAACGGGCGACTAACTTCCATTGGAGTAAACAGACTGAGGCCCTAAGGTGCCAAACCTCCTCTACTGGAGTAAATCCAGTAAAGGATAGTAAACCGACTCCTCGACTAAAGTCGTCAATTCACTATCTTCAATTAAGGGTGCTCTATCAACCTAGGCGGATATTCTCTTTTTAGGTCAAAGAAAAAACTACAGGAATTTGATCAGTATTCATGCAATTCAGAAAATCATGCCTCAATTGAATATAATCAGTATCAAATAACTTGTACTTAGGTTCATACAACCAGATCTAACATACAAATCTAGGGTTCTTCATACCCAGGTGAGTGAGAGAGTTTACTCCATAGAGAGAGAAGAGAAATCTGCTTTAGATGCGGAAATCATTCTATGAAGGATGAAAATCTGCTTCTGGTAATCAATCGGCACTCCTCTAAGATTCCACCGAGCTCCAATGGTGATGAAGATCGATTTAGGGCCCTTGGAAGTTCTATTCGTTGCACTCTCTCTTTAGGTTTTCTGCTCTCTATCTCTAAAAATCGGATCCCCTTTTCTTTGACTTGAAATCTCCTTTTAACTCGAGACTGGGCAAAACACGGTCGAGGACATGGCCGTGTTTTGCTTTTGTCCGCCCGTGTTTTGCCTCGTGTGTTGAAAACACGCTCGAGCCGATCAAAATATGGCCATGCCCAAGGAGTGACACGATCGTGTTTTTCTCCAAGGGTGCCCGTGTTTTGGACTCCTCAGCAGCCACCACAAACATGCTCTCGGCATTGAAAACATGGCCTGGGGAACACGACCATATTTTCGAGTGGGCTGCCCGTGTTTTTACCCCAGCTTCACTGAACGACGTGCTACTGGCATTAAGATCTGCCAGAAACTACCACACCGACGGAAGAATCAAAGAGGTTTGTTTCCCACTATTCATGAAAGAGAATCAATTTCTGAAGGAAGCCAAATACAATATGAAGCAGGCGGCAAAAGTGAGAACTTGCATAGGTGAGTGCTCCAAAGCACCGAAAGATGCAGACCCCGAGGACCCAGAGCCCTTACATATGCTGCAATGAAGATCGAAGTCCGTAGTAACTGTCGACTACTAGGAATAGGTCGACTATTTTGACACATTTTGTTCTGAAACTCCCATAAAAAACAACAACAAAATTGAAAGAAAGGGAGTTTTGATGCCTACCCCGCTTTTGTTAAAAGGGTCGAAGGCGCTCAGGGCATGGTAACCAGTTGGGTAGCCACTCCTTTGTGAAATACTGTTGTAAACCTGGGAGATGAAATAAAAGGTTTAGTGTTTTGTGTGTAATGTCTATGTGGATGACTTAAATTTAACTGTGCGCGATAACCATATCATTGCACCATGCATTTGCACTTATTCTTTAATGATAATATATTGCTAACTTGCCATCTGTGTAAATATAAGGGGTGGTATTCTTTATGGAGGCTTTTCATAAAGAAAACATGCCTTCAATGTCACTCAACTTCTTCTGAAAAGCCTCCATAAGGGGTGGTATTCCTGCCATTGTGTAAATATAAAACTTTGCAGCAGGAAAGTTGTCTCGTGGCAAAACCTATTCATGAGATGGAATGTTAGCAATATATCATCATTAGAGAATAAGTGCAAATGCGTGCAATGATATGGTTATCGCGCACAGTGAAATTTAAGTCATCCACATAGACATTACACACACAAAACTAAACCTTTTATTTCATCTCCCAGGGTTACATCAGTGACATTGAAGGCATGTTTTCACTGAAGGCTTAACGAGATCTAAGGCCGAGTTCGTTATGGAGGATTTTCAGAAGAAGCTGAGTGACATTGAAGGAAAGATAACAGGGCTGGGTTTGATGAAATGAAGGATCAACTAAACATGATAGTAAAGATGTAGTCGGCAAAAGGGAAAGAAATAACATCCAATGATGAAGAAGTACATTCTGACGATGATGTTTCTCCAAAAGGGGAAAGCTCAGGCCCCATATTAATCATTGTACATGACAAAAATAATATGGGATCACCCAAACATGACCAAGAGGATGAAAAAATAGAACGCGTAAAAATGACATATTGTTAATAGAAAAATGGGACTACCTGGACGAAAGAGTGAGAGCCATTGAAGGGGTAGAATCATATGGTTCTACTGATGCCACACAATTATGCCTCTTACCAAATGTGATAATTCCCCCAAAATTCAAAGTTCCGAAATTTGAAAAATACGACGGTACCACGTGTCCTAGAAACCATCTAATCTTATATTGTAACAAAATGGCCAATCACGTCCGAGATGACAAACTAATGATACATTGTTTTCAAAACAGTTTGACTGGGCCAGCCGCAAGGTGGTACATGCAGCTCGAAAGCTCGAAGGTTAAAAGGTGGCAAGATCTTGCTGATGCATTCATGAAACACTATAAGCACAATCAAGATTTCGCCCCAGATAGAGAAGATACGCACCATGGAAAAGAAAGAGGAGGAGTCCTTCCGAGAGTATGCCCAAAGGTGCGAGGAAAGGCTGCGGACGTCTAGCCCCCTTTGTCTGAAAAAGAAATGATCTCTACCTTTTTTGAAACTCTGAAACCTTCGTATTACAATAACATGATCGGAATCACTACAACAAATTTTGCTGATATGTTAGTAATTGGTGAACGAATTGAAAAGGGAATCAAACTAGGGAAGATGGAGAGCGCAGAAACTTCACGAAAGGCAAGCCACACGCACACCCGAAGGAAGGAAGGGGAGGTCAAGTCAGCCCATGGAGAGTCTTCAAAAATAGGGAGATGGAACAACTAACCTCAATCCATTCAAATTCATCCATACATAAATAATGTTACAGTTGTTACTCAACGCCCGAATTATGTTACTCAGCCACTAAACCAAAGTCATTTGATTTCCCTCATACCATCTGAGCCTATGCAACCACCTTACCCAAATTGGTATAAGCCGGATCAACATTGTGCCTACCATTCGGGAGTCCCAGGGCACTCAACCGAGGATTGCAGAACACTGTAGATCAAGGTACAATAGTTGATAAAATTGTTTGACTAAAATTCAAAGAACAAGCCAATAGGCCGAATGTTAACAGTAACCCACTGCCCAATCATGGGGGACAGGGAGTAAATGACATCGAAGAATTTGAACAATACAAAGACAGGGACAGTGTGGCATAAATAAAGATACCTCTAGAGTGCAGATATAAGGTACTATCTCACAACAATTACCAGGAGCACCCTAACGAAGAAATGCGGGAGTTAAAGGGCACTCTATCCAGCATTGCGATCTATTCAAGCTGAAGTTACAACAACTCATGTATGCAAAAGTGATATTGATTAGCACTAAAAGAAAAGTAAAGTCATCACTAAAGGAGGATCCTCAAAAGAAAAACGGTTTCATCTGCTACAAAGCCCAACAGGAGGAACCTAGTCCTCCATCATCGAAAGTGGTACCGTTGGTCATAAAAACCCCAAAACCATTCAAATATGAAAATCCAAAAGTAGTGTCGTGGATGCACAACTGTCAGATGAATCAGGACACCCCTAATCCCCAAAGTGAAGTGACAAACATAAATGGGGTAGGCGGCGTGACTAGAACTGGCAGATATTACACCCAAGATGACGTATAAAAGCGGAGAATTGAGGAATTAGGAAAAAGGCAAGAAATAAGGCGGGAAAAGCAAAAACTCCCCAAATTCACAAACCCCCAGCTCGACGAGGAAAAGGAGAGGGCACCAATGATGAAAGATACAAAAGAATACAAAAACAAGTCTCAGATGAGGATGCTTGTGAATTCCTAAAGCTGATTAAGCAAAGTGAGTTTAAGGTAGTGGAGCAGTTGAATCGCATGCCTGCGCGAATCTCTCTTCTATCCCTAATCCTCACTTTGGAACCTCATCGCCAAGCGCTTATGAAGTGCTAAACCAAGCTCATGCATGTCATAATGTGTTGGTAGAAAAATTGGACAATATTGTTGTAGCGGTCCTGACTAGTGGAAAGATCTCGTTTGATGAAGATGAAATTCCCACCGACGGAACAGGTCACACAAAGGCTCTACACATCTCGCTAAAATTCAAAAGCCACATTATAGCCTGTGCGCCTATCGATAATGGGTCAGCTCTAAATGTAATACCCAAGTCAACCCTCCATAAACTCCCGGTGGATGAATCATACATCAAGCCGAGTTTTATAGTGCTTCGGGCATTTGATGGTACTAAACGCAAGGTGATCGGCGAAATCGAGCTTCCAATCCAGATAGGACCAAGCATTTTCAACATCTCATTCCAGGTGATGGATACATACAGCCTCCTACTTGGCCGGCCATGGATACACTCAGAAGGAGCAGTGCCATCGTCACTCCACCAAAGAGTTAAATTCATCATTGACAAGAAGTTGGTGGAAGTCTACGGGGAAGAAGATATAATGATAATGAAAGAACCGGATGCAACATATATCGAAGCTACAGAGGAAGCTCTTGAAAGTGCATTTCAATCTCTAGAAATTGAACACGTCGCATATGTCAATAAAGAAAGTAAGGCAAAAGATCCAAGACCATCCATAGCCTCCATCATGGCTGCTAAACAAATGATCAAGGGAATTGACAAGTCAATGTGGAACACTCTATTCAGACTGCCAATAAACATCAAGGAAAATAAAAACCGCTGCGGTCTGGGGTACTCGCCAAGTAAAGAGGATATGAATAGGATCCAAGAGGAGAAACGAAACAAGAGGTTGGCTCGCTTAAAAGGGAACAACCTGGAATGCGGGAGGATCATGATACCCCACATAATTCAAACCTTCATAAGCGGAGGAACCATCAACAATAAAACTGTTGGTGTCATCAAGGAAAATTCAGATCCAGAGGACTATATGATGTTAACTGCTTTTAATGACATGTTGATCAACATGAGCGGAAGGAATGACACCGAATTGTCCAAGTTTGTTCGCCTGATGCGTCTAGATGAAGAGCTGTGCAACTGGAAGTTCGAAGACATGCCTACACCAGACACAATGTAATGCCGCGGGCACAAGAAATCTAGAGTATCTGATAATAATGAATAACGAATAAAATGTAGTCGAGAAGACTAGTTAAACTTTTGTTAAGACTGTAGTGGAAAATAAAGCTCACTTATAACACCTTCCCTCGCTTTCAAATAAAACATATGCATTCGAATTCCAGCCTTTCGTGACATGGATTTCTACCCCTTCCTTATTCCTCGTTATTTTCCTTTCCTTTTGCCTTCATATCTTTTGCTTCAGGATATGTGAGTAGTAAGAGGATACTCGAGATCTTTATGATTCGACGATCAAATTTGACTTACGCGTTAATCAAGTGGAATCGGATGAGGAGGAAGAAGAATATTTGGACTGGGATTGGGTTCTTGAGCGAGAAGAGCCAGCATTACAAACACATGGTGAGGCAATCAGGGTAGTAAACGTAGGAACAGAAGAAGATCAGAAGGAAGTAAAAATTGGGGAAAGCTTGAGTGAGGATGAGCAAGAAAGGCTTGTAGACCTGCTAAAGGAATATCAAGACGTGTTCGCTTGGTCTTACAAAGACATGCCCGGTTTAGATGAGAAAATAGTGATTCATCACTTGCCTTTGAAACAAGATAGCAAACCCATCAAAGAGAAATTGAGAAGAATGAAAGCGGAATGGTTGTTAAAGGTCAAGGAAGAAGTTCAAAAACAATACAATGCCTGCTTTTTACGAGTAGCCAAATATCCTAAATGGGTCTCAAATATTGTCCCAATCCCTAAAAAGAATGGAAAGATTCGAGTGTGCGTAGATTATAGTGACCTAAATCTTGCGAGCCCAAAAGAGGATTTCCCATTACCTCATATCGATGTTCTTATTGACAATACGACTGGTCATCATACATTCTCCTTTATGGATGGTTTCACTGGGTATAACCAAATCAAAATGTGCACAGAAGACATGGAAAAAACGACTTTCATCACATTATGGGGAGCATTTTGTTACATCGTAATGTCTTTCGGGCTGAAAAACGCAGGAGCTACTTACCAAAGGGCAATGGTCACGCTATTTCATGACATGATGCATAATAAAATAGAAGTCTATGTGGATGACATGATAGCAGAATCTCGACCAGGAGAAGATCATGTGGAAATCCTACGAAAGCTTTTCAAGAGATTACGTAAATATCAATTACGATTAAACCGCGAAAAGTGCACTTTTGGGGTCACGTCGAGAAAATTGCTAAGGTTTCTAGTAAGTCAGAAAGGAATAGAAGTCGATCCAGACAAAGTCAAAGAATTAGTTGAAATGCCGCCTCCCAAAACCTAGAAAGAAGTAAGAGGGTTCCTTGATCGCCTGAACTACATCAATAGACTTATTTCATAACTGACTTCCACATGTGAACCCCTTTTTAAACTACTCAAGAAAAACCAACCATGTAAATGAGACGAATATTGCCAAAATTCATTTTGCAAAATTATAGAATACCTGTTAAACCCACCGGTCCTAGCACCTCCTACACCAAAAAAAATCCTTGACGCTGTACTTATCATTATTTGAAAATTCTATGGGGGAATTTTGGCACAACAAGAAGCGCAAGGAAAGAAAGAACATGCAATCTACTACATCAGCAAAAAGTTCAATGACTATGAGTGTAAGTACACGGCTTTAGAAAAAATATGTGGTGCCCTAGCTTGGCAACAAAAAGGTTAAGGCAATATATGTTGTATCACACAACTCATTTGCTATCCCAAATGAACCCCATCAAATACATATTCGAAAAACCCGCATTGGCTGGGCGCCTCGCCAGATGGCAAGTCCTCTTAGCAAAATGCGACATAGTTTACATAACAAGAAAAACAATTAATGGGAGCGTCGTTGTCGACCATTTAGCAGAGCATGCTATTATAGATCCCGAATCCATGATTATGAATTTCCCAGATGAGAACATTATGAAAACAGAGGAAGAAAAAGAAATCTTACCACATGGTAGTTGGATCATGAAGTTTGTCGGAGCTTCTAATGCTTTAGGGCAAGGAGTGGGGGTCATCTTTATGTCCATGGAAGGTGAAATACTGCCAATTACAGCTAAACTCTGCTTCACATGTACCAACAATGTGGCAGAATATGAAGCATGCGCCTTCGGCATACGAGTCGCACTGGGAATGGGGATAAAAAGGTTGAAGGTGTATGGAGACTCTGCACTAGTAATCTTCCAAATAAGAGATGGATGGGAGATTGCATGTCAGAAGCCCATCAAAGAATTGATATTGAAATTTGAAGAAGTAACGTTCGAACATGTATCACGAGTGGAAAACCAAGTTGCGGATGCGTGGGCTACCCTCGCATCGATGTACAAAATGGAAGAAATGGGTGAAGCATCATGTATTAAGATAAAAAACGAGATGCCCCCGCATACCTCATGAATATTGAAGGAGAACCAAATGAAAAAACATGGTATTAGGACGTCCTAACCTATATCAAAGAAAAAGAATACCCACAGGGCGTCCGAAAACGACAAAAGGACTATTTACAGATTGGCCTATGGGTTTTATTTGAGCGGCTCGACCTTGTACAAAAGAAACACTGTTAAGATGTGTAGATGCAAAGGAATCCTCGAGAATAATTGAAGAAATACATGAAGGTATATGCGGTACACATGCAAGTGGTCACGTCATGGCTCGGAAAATATTAAGGATGGGGTATTACTAGACTAAAATGGAGGGAGACTGCATCCACTATGTTTTGAAATGCCACAAGTGCCAGGTGTATGCGGATGAAATTCATATTCCCCCTGTCCCCCTCCATGTCATGTCATCACCTTGGCCTTTTGCCGTATGGGGAATAGATGTTATCGGATTAATCAACCCAAAGCATCAAATGGTCATTGATTCATCTTAGTAGCAATATATTGCTTCAGCAAATGGGTGGAAGCGGCCTCCTACGCGAGCATAACCAGAAGTGTGGTGGTAAAATTTATCAAGAAGGAGATCATCTATCGTTATGGATTGCCAGAAAGGTTGGTCACCGACAA